CCCCAAAACCCCAAAACCCCAAAACCCCAAAACCCCGTGATTCATTGTTAGCTTTGAAGTCTAGAATTTTAAATTTAAGCAATGAACAAGAGGACGCTTGTGGCTGTGATAGTTGTTGTGCTGTTGCTGGTGAGTGGGGCTGGGGCTAGGAGAGGGGGGTCCAGAGGAGGGTATGGGAGGAGGTCCAGGTCTTCTAAGAGGTCAGGGTCCAGGTCGACTGGGGTGTGTAGTGCAGGGTCGGTGAGTTGTGTGCTGGTGCCTGTTTTGTGCATTCCTGCTTTTGTGGTTTTGCTGTGTGGGATTTTGTGTTGTTGGAAATCGTACAAAAAGAGTAGAGAAAGAAAGCAGCAGGAGATGATACAGAAGGCAGAGCAAGATAGGCTAAGGAAAGAAGGATTGGAGCAAGCTCAGATAGAGGAAGCATCTAGGTTAGAGAAGTTGCAAAAAGAGCAAGAAGATCTGACCGGTTTTCAAAATGATATTTCCTATAACTCACATGGAGAATCACAGCAACCTCAATTCATAATGCCTGGCACTGCTATTCAGCCCACCTACAAAATAGTAAATCCCTATTCTGGCAGCCACAATCCTCATCCTACCCCCATAATCTATGACCCCTCAACATATGGAGTTCAATACGATACTCACATTCAACTTCCTCAGCAAGACCAATATGGCCATGCACATAAAGAAAGTGTGGCTCTCCAAAGCCCCACTGGGTACCTCAATGATCGACAGAAAATAGTCCCCGTTGGCAACACAGAAGGGTCTCAGATCTGCCTTATAGCTTAGTTTTTAAATAAGTTTCTAAAGGCACTAAATCTTACCTCAAATTTTCTCAGTCTTTCAGACACAAGCATCTGTTGCACAAGAGTGCAGGATTCTCCTATATTATACCTCTCCTTCCCACCTCTCCCTCATCTCCCCCTCCAAATTCCTCCTTATTCACTCCTGACCAAAACTCGCCTTAAAAGCCCCCACTAATTCGTATTCCTTTACCATACCTTCAATTGCCCCTCTCCCAAAAGGGGTTTTGGGGTTTTGGGGTTTTGGGG